ATAAATGCCATGAAGAGATGGAAGTTTTTGGTAGCCCAAGTTATTAGCAGGCCACCACTGTTTACCCACGAGTCCATCTTGGAGGTAAACAGGAAAAATCATGTACACAAAAGCGCTGAATCAATTTAAAAACGTCGAGTTTTCAAATTGTATCATAACCTGTCAACTTCCATTTGAGTCCTTTACGACTGTCTAGTGAACCGAGAGAGGTCAGCAATATTCATAACTGACTGGAGGTTGAATTTAATACAATTTATACAAATATCCAGTAATATAAACAGACTGGTTTAATTAGTGGGGTCTGCTGCAGAACTGACTGAATTCTTCAGATCCCTAAATAATTAATTTGATCATTAGTTAAACTAAAATGTAATGACTTCAATAAATAAATGTGTAACACCAACCAATTTATCACTTCTCTAATCAAAATAAGTTTTTTTTAAATCACACACATATTTCTTGAAATATTCAGTAGTATTTTTAGTTCGGAAATAGTGAAGCTGACCAATCTCTAAAGGGCTTTAACAATTCACCATTTTAAGCTGAATCATTCTACGTAAACTGATATTGAACTGAAAACTAATAAAAAGAAATTACCTCCTGGTGTTCAGATAGTTTCAACCTGGATAATCAAACTAATCGATTGACGTAGGTGTGTTTTAAACTGTTCGCATCACCCAATAGTATAAACCTTATGTTAAACTAATTGTATTCTGTTCGGAAATAGTTCTCAAATCTAATGGAGTAATACGTAATGATATTCTTAAACCAGGTATCGTTTCGTAGGAATTTGATCAATATCAAATTAAATCATGGACTGAAATCAATTAGAGAACCATTGAAAGCCAAAGAGTACTGAACAGCTGTTTCGTCCTAGTCTGAGGATATTGAAAGTTATGCACCTCTGACTCTACCAGAGATCGAACAAAGAACTTCCAGATTACAGCTTCAAGCTGGTTGACCATTCAGCCACTGGGATGAAGTCAATTGGCATATGGACTCTAACTTCTCTTAATTCGTGATTCATAGCATCACAGACAGTCGACTTCATTCGTTAGTATTTATCCCTATACTCCATCAGGCAGCTTCGTCCTGCAGTTGGTCACCATTGAGCATCACATATTCATATAAAATAATGTAAATTTATTTATGTTTCTAATACCACTGCTTTCAGTGAAAATGTTATTTCCTTGATAAATTCATACTAGGCTGATAAGTTTCATGGACAATTTTCCGCTTCTAATTAATTTTTCTTGAATATATTATTCAATGAGTTTGCCTACTAGTGAGTAGTACAAAGCAAAATCACAAAAATGTTCAACTATGTAAGAACTATTACAATGTTCAAGTGTTGGTTTGTAGGGATTTGATTGGTTTCAGGATTTCATCATGAGCTGACATTAGTTAGAGAACCATTGGAAAACCTGGGAGTACTGGACAGCTGTTTCGTCCTAGTTTGGGACTCATCAGCAGTACGCACACACCGGGATTCGAACCCGGGACCTTCCGGTTACAAGGTGAGCTCGCCTTGTAACCTAATGTCTAACTAATGTCAGCTCATGATGAAATCCTGAAACTATCAGAATGACTGTGGTGATCGAAGTGATTTTTAGTACGAGATAATTCCAACAAGAGAAGAAAAGTCATCAAGACGGCAGAGAATAGTGAGGGAGATTTTTAGTAAATTTCCATCAAAGAGATAGTTTTGGACTCAAGTAGGAGAAACTTCAGAGTACAGCAGCAGTTTCTAACCAATATACCAAAGGAATTCAAACAAAAAGCTATGCGAATAGCTTACTGATTTATCCACAAACAGATACTGAAACCAACCAACTTTGTTGAAATTGCAGAAGCTGAACAGCTAAATGCCACAGATTTTAATTATCATGTTTAGTACAGAAAAAGTTATGCTACAGCCCTGAAACATGTCCGATACATAAGCTTATGTATGATAAATCTATTATGTGAAGCTAAGAAGCACTTTTAGTAGTTTTGAATTTAATTTAAACTGCTTGTTGAGGTTTAAGGTGGAAAATTGAACAAAGATAGGACAGATTCAATTGAAAAACTCATCACAAGCATACTGAGAGAGCTCCTAAAACCGAAACGGATTAATAACAATATTTACAATGATTTAAAACCTCGACTGTCTCGTTTGTCCTACATGTGTGACCTGCCAAAAACAAACGAACAGTACGTCCCAGTGAAAACTATACTTTTTTCTATAACCACCTTGCCTCAAGAAAAAAGTTTCTGATTGATTTGTAGGGAAGTTGGAACCTATTCGTCAACCATTAGCTGTGTGCTCAGTGAAAGATTCATTCTAGTTTGCTGGTCGCCTGAACTACTTGAACGTCTGCAATAAGTTTACGGTGTCATTTGATATAACCTTCTCGTTCACACAGATCCCAACTAATGAGACTGTGGATATTATTCGTCAGCATCCCTCTCCAAATGCCACTAATGTTTGTCATGGATGTACCACGTGCCATGGATGTCGATGCATCCCTTGACCTAAAGGTGGCTTTCGATTCTGTCGACCGAGAGTTTCTCTGGAGATGCTTGGCTGTATAGGGAATGCCGAGAAAATACATTGCACTGATTAAGGCACTCTACTCGTACTCACACAGCCAGGCGAGAGCTTACGGCGAGTTGACATCTGAACTGGTAACTACTAGTGGTGTCCGTCAAGGATGCCCATTATCACCTTTTCTATTCAACTTCATCATAGATGTACTAATGGACTTAACCCTAACTCACTTCAGCGACTCAGGGATTGACTTGCTACCAGGGAATAATCTCGTTGACTTAGAATATGCTGACGATATAGTCCTTCTAGGCGAGGACGCTGAAAAAATGCAGTCTTCTAAACACCTTGAGCTGCAATCTCCGAATGTTTGGAATGTGATTCGATCCCGCCAAATGCAAGATGATGTTACAGGACTGGACTACATCGACGCCTAGTTTAAAAATAGGAAGTGAAGTGGTAGAGCACGTTGACCGCTTCACTTATTTGGGAAGTACCATCAGCCAGTGCCAACGGGTTGATCTCTGATGAAATCTCAGGACGGACACAGGGGGCTCGTTTCGCATTTGCCAGTTTGCGCCATCTCTGGCGTGAACGAGATATCCGACCATCGACCAAAGGGCTGGTGTACTGATCATCAGTCCGCTCCGTCCTCCTTTATGGCTGTGAGACCTGGCCACTGAGAGTGGAAGACATGAAAAGACTAGCTGTCTTTGATCATAGGTGCCTGCGCTCTATCTCCGATGTTAAGTGGTATAATAAGGTGAGCAATATTGAGGTTAGGCTTCGGTCGAGTTCTAGGTAAGGAGGGGAAATCAATCAACGAGGCTGTGAAGCTACATCGACTGAGATAGTTAGGACATGTGTTACGTATGCCTAGTCATCGCCTTCCTCGACAATGGGCAATGTTAGCTGATACAGGGTCAGGCTGGAAAGGAGCTAGCGGCGGTCAAACAAAAACATGGCACCAGTCAATGAAATCCACAACAGTTAGTTTAAGCCACGTAGGAAGGTGTAGACTTTCTGGTTGGGGTCCTCGGGACAGTAAAAACCAGTGGCTGGAAACAATTGGTGATATGGCTCACAGTCGTTCTCAGCGACTGGCGCAGATGCATCCACTCCTTGTGACTTATGATTTCCAATGAAACTGTTTTGTTCTTCGTTATTACTCTTCCTTTGTCTCACACCTCTATTTACTGCCTCTATTATACTTTTCTTCTACTTTCTTCTGTTGCTTTGTGTGCTACAAAGAGTGTGGCGACTTGAACTGCCGCACATATGTGCAAAGTTCTATGTCGACAACAGACAGACAGATATGGATGTACAATTCCAGTTTAACAGTCCTCTTTACGGTCAAATAGACGGTATTGCTATGGGCGATTCACTAAGCCTTGTATTAGTGGACATCTTCATGTCTAACCCTGAGAGAAAAAAGCTGAAGTATGCAATTCATGAAATACCTTCTTATTATCGAGATGTTGATGACACATTTATAGTGTGCAAGAATGAAATTCATGCACACTACCTACTTGGATTTTTGAATGACGCACATAAAAATATCGACTCCACTATCGAACATGAAATTAATGGGACATGCTTGACATTGACAAGCGGAGTTTAGAGGACAGTAGTCTCTAAAGATCAATTTTCTGAGAGCCTATATGCGATGGATAATAATTAAATTTCATTACTTTTTGTCTGATCAGCTATAAACGAGCATGTGTCAGGATTGTGTTTAACAGAGACAGGAGAATATGCTCTACTGAGAAATTAAAGGAAGAATTCACGACTTTTGAGACGTTGAAAAGCAGAGGTTGAAATTGGAAGTGAGATCCAAAACACTTTTCATCCTGTTTGAATGTAACTTCACCCGTTCTGGCATTTCCCATCGTTACGCGGACCTAACAGTTACCGCTCTATACAATACTAGGCTAATGAGCTGTCTCCTTTGCAGCAGATACGTGAAAGAGGTCAACAAGGTTTATCACATATAAGTAAAGATTCAGCTGTCTCGATGTGAAGCAATGTGAATAAGTAACATAACAAAATTTGTTTATTACACCACAAAACAGCCCAGTAGAAAGATGATGAAACCAAATAGCAACTAATAAGATTGGATAAACAAGAACCTCAGCCAATATATGGGGCGATGTCTTGTAACGCTCGTTCACACTGTGACTTCATAAAACCCCAATAAGTGAAGAGGAAATTAAAGTCTGATAAGAAGTCGGGTCTTGTTGGTCAGTCAGTGACTTCCATGCCACTGGTCTAAACTATATCAAGACCTAGGCTTTTATTACACCAACAATCCCTAACATCATAAGAGCCGAAATACAGCAGTTCCGCTGAGTTATTAAATTCATCCAGAAACTTGACATATCGCTTCACTTTCCTTTCATCTAATATTCTTGTTCTCATTGGTCAGTAGTTATTGCATTACAAATAAATCGAAATAACAAAAAAAATCACAAGTGGGATTATTAAATATTTATGAAAACACATAAAACACCAAAATGAATTAATAACATAACATCTGGAAATCTGATATATAGTTTAAGCGGTACACGCAGCTGTCTCCTTTTCTTGAAGTCCTAAATCAACTTCAACTTGCATTGCAGTTGTTTGGTGCATAAATGGACGTTGTTCGCGAAAATTGGATATTGTACGCTCCTTAGCCTCCGGCCATTTAACCAATGCACTAATTAATGACAACAAAAAAAAGTTTTTTGAATTAAGAAAAAAACAATTTCAAGAAGAAGAATAGTAGGAATAACGGCTTTATTCTAGACATTGTGCTGATACATCCTGTGGAACTTTCAGCGTACTTAAATTGCCAAATATCTACTCTGCGTAGAGAATTTTCAAGTAAAATACTATTCGGCAGTATGTCATATGTGTGAATATATGCAATATACAATCCTCTACGTGTGTCGGTGGCATAGCGGTTAGGACGCTCGCCGACCATGTGCATGGTCCGGGGTTCGATCCCCGGCCACCGACGCACTCCTTTACCTCGCTAAGCCAGAAATAATCCTGGTAAAGAGGAAAGTTTGGACATGAGGCTAGCAATCCTATCCTGTAAAATAAACACTGCTACAGAAACTTCAAGTCACTAGCTTGAAGCCCTATTTTCTACTGGGGAACGTGAAGGAAGACATCATTATTAAACAATCCTCTACAATATCTCTTGCTGATTTACTCTGAGAATTGCTCTACATTAAATGTTGACAGCAAACTAAGAATGTGAGTGAGTTCACTTGACCATCTAAATACACAATTAGATGATTAATAGCAGTAAGAAATGGAGAAGGGTTTACGCAATATACTGGATGAAAATTTTGGTGGCCCAGTGATATAAACGGGCCATCAATCTTCTGATCTAAAGGTCACATAAGGACCGTCTGACTACCTGTAGATTTACAGCTGTGCAATGAATACATTGTTTACTGGCTATAGCACTTGACTTTCAGTAAGTGGATTTCGAGTTCAAAACCCGCACCACCTACCTAAGTCAGGGTAAGTAGGCAGTGTGGCTCATAATCTGAAACACGGAAATTTCAAACGATGCTACACTAGTAGATAATATCAAAGAATATTACAGACTTCTCCTCAATTATAGTCGCATTGATGAACTTCACTGACACTTTTAGGTTAGTCCGACTACTACTTATCCGTTATTAGTAAAAACATAACCTAACAGCAAACGTTATTCAAATATTATATGGTGAAACTCTTAACAACATATTTATTCCTTGTTTCACTATGGTTCATCTTTTCAGTTTTAAAACAGTATTGGTGAGTAGGCACTTTTGCATTCCTATTTTTGCATAAAACTATATACTACCGATTGATTCAGATGAGTAGTTGCATACTACTCATATTAACCAGTAAAGCTTGTTGGACGGATTGAAGTGGTCTACACACTGGATGGTGGCATACATTTTTATACTTTCTTGATTACCATTTATGGCATCGTGCGTCAGTGGCGCACACGTAGAATACTCACTAGCCCATTCAGGTGGTCCAGGATTCGGCCCCTGGTCGACACACTCACAAACCTCGCTTAGCTGGTGATAAGCCCAGCAAAGAAGGAAGGTTAGGAGTGAGACTAATAATCCCACCCCGTAAAAATAAACACCATTGCTACCGAAACTCCAAAGCTGTAGCTTGATGCTCTATGTTCCAATGGGAACGCAGAGGAATAAAATTTAAAAATAATTCATGGTTTTAAGGAGATCACATAATATGCTCTGAAAAACTTGGTTTCCACAGGAAACTACGGTTAGATATACTTCATCACTCGAGCTGTACAGATTGCAAATAACTAACCGTTTTTTACACTGTGAATTCATTCTCATTTTTATTTTTCTAAACCATTATTGTAAACCTTAGTACTTTTTATCCACCACAACTTGATGGTCACTCTGTGCAATTCTGTAATCACTTTTAAGTCAAATAAAAATGTTATAACAACTAGACAAAATGTGAGGATATATAATGAAATAAATAAACTTGTAAGCAGAAGGCAAAAACACATCAACAGGCTTTACAGACATCATAAAATCAATTATTCCAAGAAGCGATCGACAGTGAGATTTAACCTCATCTTCGAAGGTTTAATCGATTGATCGTTTGGCAATTTTCTCTCAATTTATCTGTTACACTAAGGGAAGATTATCAATATTCATGGAGTTTGTGTATCAATTATTCGAAACTAGAATGATAGAATGCTACCACTACTTGATTAAATTAGACAATATCATGTACCTGAATAAGAGCGATACATCATTTAAACCTTTGGTTTTTAGTTTTGGTAATCCAAAATGCTGTAATCTGAATCAAATCCTACAAATTTGTAATCGACTGATATACTTTGACCCATAGCAGTAAAGCCCATTTTTAAATAATTATACTATAATCTTAGCCTTTAATGAATAAACTATATAGACTCAAAAAAATGAACTGCTGACTATATAACAGATCAAAAAATATTCTGAAGTTGATTTATATATATGTATATTACTGGCGATACAAATTATAAGTAGTAAATTTACAAGGTGATATAAAAAATACCTCAAGTTACAGTGATAAGTAGAAATACAACCTGTCCAACACATTACATTTACAAGCTCTGAGCAATAATTTAGATTTATTGTGTTAGGATGCTGAAAGAGTATTACTCAAAAAGACCACTTGCAACTCCATGAAGATGATGATAAACAGCACCTAGAGCGTGAAGGCTAGTGACACTGCCTGGCTGCTCAAAACTCACAGTTCGAATCTGTGACCCAATGGTGGTTGAAAATCGACTACCTCTAGAGCGATGAGCCAACAACTTCAGATCACAATAATAATACTACTGGCCAACCACACCTTATATAGTAGAGTATGTGTATATTTATTTATCTGAATCAAGATTGAGGACAGTATTCAGCTATTAGTTTAAGAGGAATTAAAAACAACTATCAACTCAACAAAGATGCGGAAGAAAGTGAAGATGGATTGAACACACACTGAGGAGATCGTCAAATGACACTGTGAGCCCCAGACCATAGCTGGAATGGAACCCGAATAGGAAATAATGAGTCGGATGTTCGACAGTGACTTGGAGAAGATAGTGTGGAGAGGAGATGAGAGACTATGGGCAATCGTGGGGACAGCTTAAGTGGACGATAGAGGATAGGACAAAGTGGAGACGCGCAGTTGAAGCCCAAAGCGACAATAATAACAATAATCAACTCACCGATATATTGCACGGGTATACTTCATACGACCTTGACCATTTAGAAACTCAAAGATGTGGTCTAATGAAGGCAAGTGACGGGAACGTATACAGATTAGGCACCACCTACAAAAAGAAAAGTAAAGTCCGATTAATTCAACAAAAACTAACCACTTATTAACGAGTAATAAACAATGAAGAGGCTTTCGTTTTGTTCAATTAGCTGCTTAGTCAGTTTTATCATTATAAATATCTCTGGTTGGCTGGTTTCGACATGGGACTTTTCTCCGATATGCAGCACTTTGAGTGGTCACACTTCAATTAGCACACAAATCCAGAGAAGAAAGCAAAAAGAAATGCAAAATGGAGACAATAAACAAAGATATGAGGCAAAAAGGATAGTAATATCGAAGAAACATATAGTTTTATTGGGTATTATAAGTCACAAGGTGTGGATGCAGCTGTGCCATCAATGAGAACGATACTGAGCCATATCACCAACTGTCTCCAGCCTTCATTGGTTTGTACCGTCCCAAACACCCCAACCAAGAAGTTTACACCTCCGTACGTGACTGTTGTGAATTTCATTGACTGATGAGGCCATGTTCTCGTTTGACCACCACTGGCTGTTTTCCAACCTGAACCATTCTATGTTAGCTAACATTACCCGTCAGTCGAGAAAGGCGATGACTAGACATACGTAACAAATGTCCTAACCATCTCTCCCAATCGGAGTAACTTCACAACTTCGTTGATTGATTTCACCTCCCACCTACCCAGCACTCGACGCGTAACCTCAATATTGCTCGCCCTTATTATGGACAAGATTTTATTTTGATAAGTAAATCAAGTTGAACTTGATATGATTATGAGCAACAGTCTGTGCTCGAAACGTCATCAGTTAATATAAATGTACAACACTGTGTGATTTATCAAAATAAAATCTTATCCATAATGGAGTTATACTCTACCACAGTGCCCAAGTTTTATACTTATATCAATAATTGCTCGCCCTATTATACCATTTCACACAGAAGATAGAACGCAGGCACCTACGATGAAAGATAGCTAGCCAGGCTTCTCATGTCTTTCACGCTCAATGGCCAGGTCTCACAGCTATAAAGGAGGACGGAGCGGACTGATGAGCAGTACACACGACCTTTGGTCGATAGCCGGATATCATGTCTACACCAGAGATGGTGTAAACTGGTATACGCGAATCTACCCCTCTGTATCCGTGCTGAGATTTCATCAGCGGTCAACCCGTTGGGGGTGATGGTACTTCCCAAATAAGTGAAGTGGTCAACATGCTCTAGTTAGGTACAACAGTTTGACAAGATAAATCAAATTATTAGTGTCAATTTAACAAGTGTGAAGAGGGTGTGAAAATATACAAAAAGAGCATATGAAATTGATAATAGTGAATTAATTATTAAAGCAAAAGCAAACTAAAAGTAAAACTAAAAATTAAGAACAAAAGAAAAAATCTAAAATTTTTTTACAGGGAACGATTAGTGAAGAGGTTAAGACCAAGGTGGAATATTAAATAAATAAATAATAAATGAAAGTTAGTCATATAGACTAGGTGTAATAATTTAACCTGGAAGTTGCAGTATTAACTGTAATAGGGACTGACAGTAGTACATTAACCATTTTGTGAACACAAACAGCATTCTTATACTCAGCAATATTGAGACGCGATCTTCAGATTGACAAAACTGTAGTTAAAATGGAACTTAAAATAAAAAAATCCAAAAGCCATGAAATATTTCAACTAGCTATATGATTTTATATGGTGAAGAGGAATAGGGATTTGAATGGAATGAAGTTCACCTGTTGCCGTAGAGCCAGATACATCGGTCGTTTGACGCGCATCCTGTCCAACAGGATTCAAGAACTCTATCCAGCATGGTTGCGAAAAGGCAGTATTCCTACTGTAAGGAGTGCGATAATTGAACACCTGATTAACAGTGATCATTTCATCTCAACAAATGCCTCCTACCAAAGGCAGTACACTTTCGTCTTCTTTGTATCGCTGAAGCTCTGGCCATTCACATAGAAAAACCAGGGCTGTGCATACAAAAGAGAATTATTCAACCACTTCTATTATCATGGTAACAACTGTGTTGATTTTTGATGACTTAGTTTTCTTTGCTTGTTTCTCTAATTGCTTATAATTCTTGTATTCATTTAGAACTCTTACCTAATTTCATATTCTCTAGTTTGTTCCTATGTGTATCCTGAATACAACTCAATCATCAAATTATACATATTATTATGTAACTCTTTTTGAACAACTGTTTGTGACAGCTCATCACCTTTGTTACTACACTAGTTTCATGAACACTCAATTTTCTTGACCGTTTTTGTGTAACGTAACTCTACCCAAAACTTACTAATTTTCACCTGTTTAGTTAAAATAACCATAACCAATTGCATATTTGTTTGACAAACTTAATGTTCACATGCATACAAAATAACTCATATATATTTGCGATTGTACGGCTAAGAAAATGAATTCTCCGAAAAGAGACTCTTCGCAGAACTGCGTGTTTTGTTTTCACTAATGCCTGGATGGGGATTATTCATGAAGTGAATAAAGCAGTTAAGACTGTATAACAACAATCTGCCAATGCCAATAGTCAAGAGACGAATTTAACCAGAATTAAACATTGGACGAGATTAACCAATATATCCATTATAGTCTTACAGGAGTTCAACTGAAGCCCGAATGGCTTACTAGTAAAGTCTCTGACTGTAGCACCGGTTTCGAATGTATATCTATGCGGCCATCAGTTTCTTTGAGGTGGTACATACGTCTTGTAGAAGTGTCGATATGCAGGAGAAGTAAGTGTCGACCAATTTCTCTCAACAGCTTTCAACTATCTACCCCATTTTAAATACACCTGAAACTGTACAGACAGAATAGAAGAATACGAGATCTCTTCGGTTATAAAGATCAGAATCCATCCGATCAATTGTTGCACTAATTATTAATACAGGGGGATGGCGTTTACTTCTTAATTACAACTTGTGTCCTACAACATATTCCAGTGATGAAGCTACGCCGACAACCTGTTCATAAAACTTTCTCTTGATGTTTCAACAAATTAATTTCTACGCATGACATAAGAAAAAATAGAAGACATAAAAATGTAATATGCGGTTCAACAGTCTTAAATTGAGTTCGTTGGCTTCAATACACCAAGATGATATGTACAAACAGTACACAAGCATCTACTACTACTGTGGTGACAGCTAGCTGCAAGCCGAAAATTGTAGACAGCAATTGACGTCAATGTCACGTCCCGGATTGCGGTCATGCGAAAAAACAATAACAAAGCTTAACATTGAGGAATTCACCAACCAATCACACCAGACTTAGTGTGTGCAAATACGATTCGCAGATATATGGCCCAACCTTCTAAGAAAGAAACAACCAATCAAAAGATATCGCTTCTCTGTTAACAATAACGCTAATAATAATGTACATAAAAATCTATATAAATATCTCTTGATATTCTCAATAAACGATCTGTCGCCTGGCCTTTGTCTTCCGTCTTTACACTGCTACGTAAGCATAAAAAGAATGTCACTATGTTTTCTTATGAGCATTTAAAAAAACTAGGAAAAACACCTAAAGACCAGTAAATAAAATGAAATCAAAGTTCACCTGTGCATAAAATAATAATAAGAAGAAATTCTTACTGTGATCGTATTTCGGCATTTATCTGTTTGGATAGTTTTAAAACTTCATCAATTTTGCATAAATTATTGATTTCTACTGGTTCAGATTCAACCACATTGCGTAGAGTTAATTCCCTTTGTATATGAGACAATTTATTCCATAGGTTAGTTAAACTTTGTATTTTTGTCGTATCGGAATGTAGATCGTGTGCAGTGAATAATTTAAGCAGACTATCGCATTCAGCAAACAGATCACCAGCATCAAATCTACATAAAAGAATACATAAGACAGTATAATATACATCTGCTTAATCTCAGCTTATAAAATGATGATATACTATTTTGCTTGAATTGGTCATTAGAGTTATACAACAGGCGCTTGAAATTTTCCCAATTACGGTGACTTTTTAGTGTTCATAGAGTCAAGCGATTAAAACTTTAGAATTTGCAGTAAGTGTGTAGATTGAGGCATAATTTTGACATCATATCACATATACAAATATTCAGCATAACAGCAACAAGCATATCTGGCATAATTACTTGTAAGGTAGATGTTGTACGCTGATTGAAGATGAAAATATGATGGAGAAGATTTGTAGCTTATGTGGATGATTTTCAGGTGGTTGTGTTCTCTGAGGTGGATAGTTAATTTGCGATTATGAACGTATCATCTATGTATCTCTTGTATAAGTGCAGTTGACTTATCAAGGGATCGAGGATGTTGTTTTCAAGACTCTCCATGAAGCAGTCGGCTAGGAGTCTTTCATACAGATTTTATTTAAAAACACTATAGCATTTCCACTAGTTCCTGTCCATTCCACATGAGCTTATTGGTAAGTTATTATCTCATAATTGTTACGTCATGCGAACTTCTGTCTTATTGATATAAGTATAAAAATTGAGCACTGTGGTAGAGTATAACTCCATTATGGATAAGATTTTATTTTGATAAATTACACACAGTGTTGTGCAGTTATATTAACTGATGACGTTTCCACACATGTATATAAATGGAAGAAAAAAGTTGTGTGTGTTACTTGATATGATTATGAGCAATAGTTTGTGCTCGAAACGTCATCAGTTAATATAACTGTACAACACTGTGTGTGATTTATCAAAATCAAATCTTATCCATAATCGAACTTCTGTCTCTTTTCTAACTTACAATTAGTCATTCTTTCTTACACTTTACATTATGTAATACAGCTTTTCAAGGACAAAGTTTACCAGTATCTGATTGGTCTAAAGATTTCTTTGTTCACTCTAATTACGATTGTACAGCTCCTGAAAATGAATCGTTGAAAAGAAAATTTTCTTCGCTGTTTGCGCCTTTTTCTTATGCCTTAATATGGGAATACTTCGTTCATTGAAAAAGCTAATGTTATCAATCTCTCTCCCCACCCTGTGATATTAGATTTTAAAACTGTCATCCTATCCCATCCAGCCTATTGTATGGTTGTGTGTAAATGCATGTAGTGAGTGGTATAGCTGAACTATCCTCTAGATTTTTTATCTTATTCGGGTCAACCAATCTAGATTTTGCTAGGTTTTTATGTTCGGCTAGTCTGACTACCCCTGTTCTACTAGTCTAACCTATGTATTTGACCTGACAGTCATTGCAGACAGGGTATTAGATAAACTAAACTGTTTTGTTTTAAAGGCTTCACAGGATCCTTTAACCGACCAAGTTTGTTTCTAATTGAGTTTGTGGTTGGTTTGAATGCCAGCCACTTTTATTCCTGTCTTGTTAAGAATTCGGCGTGAGGTTTCCAAGGTTCCTTCCTTGTATGGAGTTACTAATGATGATTTAGATTCCTTATTGTTGGTGACGTCATTAATATTATTATTATCACTATCGCTACCATCATTTTTTATTTTTACATTTCCTTACATATTTTCTGACTAATTTATCCGGGTAATTATTAAGTTTCAAGACTTCTTTTATGTGTATCACTTCTCTTAGATTTTCCTTGGTACTACTTAGGTTTTGTGCTCTGTCATTTAAACATTTCACTAATCCTATTTTTACTGACATAGGATGGGATGATCGGAAATCCAAATATCTGTTTGAATGTGTGGGTTTTCTGTAAACACTAGTGTTTAGCTTCCCATCTTCTTTCCTTTTTACGTTGCAATCTAACATTGGAAGCTCCCCTTCCTGACTTTTTAATGAATAAGTGAGTTGAATTGCCTCTACCTTCGAGTTGATGTGTTCGAAAAATCTATCTATATCTTGTGTTCTAAGTACAATGAATGTGTCATCTACATATCTCCACCATACTTTTGGGATGGGGGTGAACGTTTCAATCGCTATATTTTCCCACCTATCCACGAATATATCTGCTACAACTGGGGATATTGGTGATCCCATGGCAACTCCCTCAGTTTGTTTGTACATTTTCCCTTGGAATTTAAATACTGTGGAAGTTAGGCATAGCTGCACCCCCAGCATTATGACCTCAAGTGGCACTTTTGTCCTAAGTTTGAGTTCTTGATCGAATATGAGTTCGTTTCTGACTGCCTCTATAGCCATATTTATTGGTGTACGTATATAAACTAAAAATGTCAAAACTAACCATTTTCTCTTCATCATCTAATCTTAAATTATCTAATCTATGTTTTAGTTCATAATAATTTGTTAGTCTAGATTTCGAGTGGCTTTTAAGGGGATTTAATGCCATGGCTAAATATTTAGATAATTCATAAGTAGGTGAATTTCTAAAATCAACTATAGGTCTAATAGGGTATCCTGACTTATGAACTTTAACAACACTTTAACATCCTACTAGGGTTATTAGTTTTAGGCATTAAATTAAACCACTTAGACTCACCTAGAAACGGCTTCATTCGGCGTATAAGGTAGGCTGTGGATTTCTTAACTTCATTCATAACTGTGTCTACTGACTTATTAATTTCCCCATATGATCCTGTTTGTATGTGAGTGTTTACCCTGTCCAAATAATCTGATTTGTCTGATTCTACTGTTACACTTCCTTTGTCTGACTTAGTGAGGTATTTTATGGCTTCTGTCTCTGGTTTTATCAGGTTAGGCTTTCCACGTTATTGTCGTTTTAATGTAAGTGCACACTGTGCCCGCACTTCGTCAGCTGTTGTTTTGTCTATCCCACTTAGTGCTATTTCTATTTCACGGATGATATCCTCAAGTTTCAGCTTGTCTACCGATACATTGAAATTTAGTCCCTTTTCTAATACACTGTTTTCTGTACTCGAATAAGATAAGAAATCTAGAGAATAGTTCAGCTATACCACTCACCACATGCAATTACACACAACCATACAATAGGATGGGATGGGATGACAGTTTGAAAATCCAATGTCACAGGGTGGAGGGAGAGATTGATAACAGAAACTTTGTTTATCGAATCAACTGCAAATACATGTGATAGGAATGATTCAACACCTGTCCCAGATATCTGGAAAATTCTACTACCCCAACGACGACAAATAGAAGAAGACAAAGAAAACTATAAAACTCAAGTGCTGAAGTCGTGTGATTATAATTGATGAAATGATTATGAACAATAGATTTTGTTCGAAACGTCATCCAATAAATCATACTGTTTCACTGTGTGATATATCTAATAAAGAAACTATGGAAAGTTACACATTATAAACAAACAATTTTCAAGTGTTGGTTTGTAGGGATTTGATTGGTTTCAGGATTTCATCACGAGCTGACGTTAGTTAGAGAACCATTGGAAAACCTGGGAGTACTGGACAGCCGTTTCGTCCTAGTTTGGGACTCTTCATCAGTACGCACCCACCGGGATTTGAACCCAGGACCTCCCTGTTACAAGGTGAGCTCGCCTTGTAACCTAATGTCTAACTAACGTCAGCTCATGATGAAATCCTGAAATTTTCAAGTATTTCTTACTTACTTTGGTACCCAAGGAGGTAGACCTGGACTGTGCATCCATATATGTATTTCATTGTTTGGATCAAGTAGCTTAGAGTCTATCTGAGAGGAGAAAAACTTTAACCAACTGTCGGAATTCAACGATGAGCCAGAAAATTGTTTCACATATGACTTTAACCAATTGAGCATTTTTTCTAGACGTTGTAGTGTTTTTGTTTTGAAAAAAGAAAGAGAAGAAGGTTATGATGACGAAATACACATAGGAACTGTGGCAGAATAACTATTTGAAGAATCCCTCCACAACGATCTAATTACGCAATTGATACTTATTTATTTCAATGAACTTTGTAATTATCTTCCCATTTTCCCCGTAGGTTATACTATCATTGCTGTAAAGTCTGCATATCACCGAATGGCTTAATCTTTATTTGAATAGATCAAGAACAACAGTTTCTGCAGAACTATATGGTATCATCATTTGTTTCGTTAGCTTCTCATCAACTGCTTACAACCAAAGGAAATTATTAAGTTTATTTACAGAAGAATCTTAGCATACTTCCACAGAGCTCATTTTTAAACAAAAATCAATCAATATGTGCATACAACGCTAATAATAATAATAATCCCTTTATCTCAAATAATAATGACCATACATAGTGAAATGAAAGAGAGGATGATAACACTCAGTTACCAGGGCAAAGAAAGACTGATAACTGCTTCTTTATGAACATATGAATCGGATTTGCAGAGGCTTGATAGGGATTGCTTCAGAAAACTTGAGAAGAATTAAACTCTTTTGCCTATTCATAATTTTGAACGATCTTGTGACGTCTGTCTGATGACTCGTGTCAAGGAGAGGCCTGGTAACAGCTTTTCGGTATATGTTTAGAAAACAGTATGTATGCTTTTCGTTCTGTTCTTCCAATGTAAATGCTCTCGCAGATACATGTAAATTTATATATATACAGTTAGAGTTAACATGAGAAGGATATCTTTCGATTTTCGATTGCACCAAAGAGCAAGTTGTTCGACAAACGGGATCCAGCTTAGCTGCAGGATAGGCTCTTCCTACTGATGTCCTCAATCTTTTGTTGACGATTGCCGTAAAATCTTCACCTTTAAAATCAAGTTGAGTGTAGATGGGCTTTTTTCCCACTGTAATTTGTTTGACACTTGTTAATGAACCTTTGGGGATAACCGTTGCTTTTCAACATCTTCTCGAGAAACATAAATTCTTTCTCTAACTTCTCGGTAGAGCAAATTCTCCTAGCTCAATAGTATAGAGTATTAACTTGTGATCCTTTAAAGCTATTTGGACGAAAACTAATTAAGTTGTAGGTATTGTCCTTTCCATGTAGGCTTTCGGTAAATTGACTTCTGAAGACTACCATCTTCTAGGCGTTGACCGGCAATGTCTTTAGTCTGTATCATTTTTCTTTGTTCTTGTGTAATCTCTAATTTAAATGCTTCTCTTTGCGGCTGTCTGTCTGTCTGGATTCAACATAGAACTTGGCACCGAAGTGCACCAGTTCGAGTTACCACCTTCCAAATAGCACACAGAGGTAGACAAGAAGATGAGTGAAGAGAATCAATAGAGTTTGACAAGTATAGGAATGATTCAGAATGGGTAGTGGTAGAAAGGAATATGAAAGATTACAGAGACTGAATACATCTGCGCTGGCCATTGACAACGATTTTGAGCCATTTCACATATTGTGTCCAGCCATTGATTCCTAGAGTTCCGAGGGCCTCAAGCCGGAAGTCTGCATCTCTCTACCTGACTCAGTTTAACTGTCAAGGATTTCATGGATTGATGTCATGTTTTTGTTTGACTAACACTCACTCGTTTCCAACCTGCACCTATATCAGCTAGTAATGCCCGTCGGGGGAGGCGATGGTTAGGCATGCGCAGCACATGACCTAGCCATCTCACTCTATGTAACTTTATAGCCTCGTCGATTGATTTTCCCTCTTTGCCCAACACTCTACGCCTAACGTCAACATTACTTACCTTATTATACTATCTAACGTGAGACAGAGATCGCAGACATCTATGATCGAAAGCAGTCAACCTTTTCATGTCTGCGGCTATGTGGTGGTATTGATAATGTGTTGTTCTATGATTGTGATTTTATTTGAGTGAGGGTTAAGGCTGGTCGAGGGGACCTTTACCCTAGATTGTCTACGGGAAATGTTTGGCGCGTGATTCTTGCTAAGAGAGATTTGATCCCACCTTGTTTGTAACATTCTCCTTGATTCTCAGATACTTCTTACGGTTGATTTTAGTTTATTTGTATTTGAAAAAGTCCTAAACAGCATTATTGGGGTAATTTTGAGTTTACATGTGTTATTATCATTAAACAGTAACACAGATTTTTTTGCGAATAACTCTATTTTAAATATCGTCGGGACATTTTTGAACTGTGTGTAAGTTTGGTTAGCTATGCAGTAGAAGGCAAAGATTGGTTCCCTGTATTCAGACTACAACCCGTCGGTGGTTTAAGGTGACTACAGTCACCATCAGGTAAAGAAGATTTAATTGTTAGAAGAGTTACAAGTGAATTCATGGACATTGATTGTATAACTAAATTATGCTTCTGCATAGTTTTGACTATTCACCTACATGAGTCCAATTTAACACACCTATCACCAACTAACTAATCACACATATAATCGTTAACTATGACATGTATGAGATTAACAGAATAGAATGAATTTTGAAATCAAAACGCATGGATTGTTTGGTGAGTTTACAATGACAACTAATATTTTTCTTATTATTCTAGCCTTATAAATTTTCTATTATCTCAAAGTCACACATGGCTAGCCAACACTTAAGTGTTTCTTTTTAGTTAAACAAATGTTTTTATTCCTCTACGTTCCCAGTGGAACATAGAGCTACAAGCTAGAGGCTTGAAGTTTCAGTAGCATTGGTGTTTATTTTTACGGGATGAGGTTGCGCTAGCCTCATGCCCAACCTTCCCTCTCAACCAGTCTTATTGTGGTGAGAGCAGGCTGCTAGCCTATTGGCAGACATTAATTTACGTCAATGTCTATGTCGCTAATATTGGCCGTGAGAAAATATGAACAAGACTGATTTAACAACCAATCACATAAGACCTAACGTGGGCAAATACTATTCGCAGATACATGGCTCAACTTTCTGAGAAGCCAATCACAAGCAGTACAGAATAACCTTGAGCAAGAAACAACCAATCAGAAGACTGTGTTTGTCTGCTTGAATAAGCTATTATAATGTACATGAAATATATATAAATACGTGCTGATTTCCTCAATAAACGATCTGTTGCCTGGCCCTTGTCCTCTGTTGTTACATTATTAGTGGTTTACCGAGGTAAAGGAACGCATCGGCTGGGGGTTGAACGCCGGACCACATGAGGCGTGGTAGGTGAACATTCTATCGCTGTGGCACCGACGCACTAAGTTTAAAAATTGACAGAACATAATGACAACTTTTCTCTACTCTAACTCAGGAATTTTTAACTGATTGAATCGCAAAAACCACTTTCCTAAACGGCTGAGCATTCATAAAAACTTTTGACATGCAATAAACTTTAAGTTGCTATGCCTGGAAAAAACAAAAAAGCAGTAGTAAGCTACGCTTACCTTTTCCATATAAAGTTTCTAAGTAGTAAAGTAAAAGACATCCTTTTTCATATGGAATTCGATTATACGATTCATCTGGATCAATCCCTTCTAAGCTTGGAATAAGCTTCGTAAACGGGTGTAATTCACCTAGTCTATTCACCTATTAAGATCGAAAAAAGAGTGAGATGATAGTGTTAGATTACGCAACTTAAAGTGCTTCTTTTATATGAGTATAAAAAGTTGTTTTGTTCATATCAATTTACAATGGGTTTTTTGTGCGCTGAATGTTCTGCACGATTGGGGTAGGGTGGATAGCGTCACACCCAATCTTCCCTCTTTTTCCAGGCTTACGCCCAGCTAGTCAACTAGTAAAATAGTAAACTAGGTGAGTTCTTCAAGAATTTACACTGGACGTCGGTGGCACAGCGGTTAGGATGCTCACCGACCATGCATATCGTCCGGGATTCGATCCTCAGTCGGCCTGCTAAATTCGGGCTACGGATATCACATGCTGAAAATTGCATAGTTGTACGAAAATAATGTCAAGAATCAAGCTACAATAAATAAATTTAAAAATAAATAAAAATTAATATAATGCTCATTTATTTATTAAATAAAGCTCATCAAGTAGACTGAGAATAATGTCAACGATAAGTCTCTCGAATTCTTACGACATTTGAGAACTTTTAGCGTGATTAATTCATCAGAAATAATTGAAACCCTATGAGACATTGGGGAGGGGAGGACAATGAAGAAGTAAAATAGGCCTACATACCTGAACAGTAAGTTATCATAATGTCAAAAATAGCCGAGATGATAATAACCGAGTATTGATTTGCAGGCATTCGATTGGCTACATGTTTGATCACGAGTTGGCATCAGTTATGCAACCGTTGGAAAACTTGGGGAGTATTGGACAGCTGTTTCGTCCTAGTTTGGAATTCTTTATCAGTACCCACACACTGGGGTTCGAACCCAGGACCTTCCGGTTAAAAAGCTACCTCGAAGACCATCCAGCCGCTGGGATCCGATATAAGCAGACCATGAATTATAAATTCTGCCATTTCGCGACACATAGTGCAACCAACAATCAATATCAAAGGCGAGTAACTGACATCCTATCTGAATTGGCGGACTCCGCTGGTTACAACTTCCCACTAGAACCTACAGATAACTTCCTATAAAAAGCCAACCACTAGTGAACATCAGGTTAATTATGAAGTGGTGGCATTATGCAACACACCTTATATTTCATCAAAGATTCCAATGAAGTCTAAACGAATAATGATAAAGTTGGTGGGATATTTAAACAACCACAACACGATGTGAGAACAAATGATAAGGTTTAATTAAATTTTATATTTTCCCGTCGGTTGATTGGACCGAAGTGCTCGGTCTCAGGTTGACATGTCGGCTCCTTGTGTAGATGCTTCGACGATGTCTGGGCATCTAATCAGAATTTAATTGGTGGTACATACAGCTGACGAGTCCCAAGCAGGACGATATGCTCATCCTGAATTCCACTGCTAGCCACCATCCACCAATTAAATTCTAATTCAATGCCCAGACATCATCCAAGCATCTGCACAAGAAGCCGACATGTCAACCTGAGACCGAGCACTTCGGTCCAATCAATCGACAGAAAAATCTCAAATTCAATGAAATTAATATGACCCGTTGCACAAGAGGTGACTCTTGTGGCCCAGGTGGTCTAGTAGATAACGCTTTGGCGTTTGGAACTATGGTCACTGGGTCCAAACCTCGGTGGGAACATCATCACTACCAGGAAATGCAGGTACATACAGCTGACGAGTCCCAAATAGGACAAAATGCGCATCCTGGATTCCACTGCTAGTCACCAATTGAATGATAAGGTTGACTGCCGCTTAATGCATGGAGCATAGTTTGCAAATTTGCAAAGTGAAATGAAATCTAGAGATTTTACTAAATTACCGACAACTACTAAATTGAAAACATTTATTGAGTAGCATGGGACATTAAAGTGGGTTGGTGATTCAATGGTAGAATGCTCGCCGACCACGCACGTGATCTGAGTTCGATCCTCGGCTGACGCACTCCAAAACCTCACTTAGGCAGTAGTAAACCCAGTAAAGAAGAAGAGCTTGGTATGGGGCTGGTAACTCCATCCCATGAGAAAGCAACGCCGCTAGTGAAAATTTAAAGCCGAAGCTTGGAACTCTATATTTCCACTTAAAACGCAAACGAATGAAAGAAAGCACAAGCCATTACAAGAGGATGGCAACAACAGGAACAAAATATAATTCATGTACAAAGAATAAATCTTACTTCTTCTTTAAGTTCACTATAACCTAAACTTAAATGAAGATGTCTCATATGCGAACCGTATAGACTTTCGATGATTAAACGTTCCAAATACATTGTATGCCCTTCATTCAACCAAAAATGTTCCCAAGTTGAATTTGTTACTAGATTACCAGTCCATGAATGAGCAATTTCATGAGCTATAACATTAGCTAATGAGCGATCACCTGCCTAAAATAGAGGAAGGTAATTTATCATGACTAGTTAAGGAAAAAGCAATACATATAGCTGAAGGAAGTACATAGGGAAACAAAATGATATTCCATAACTCATAGTATGTTTATTCAGATAGGGAGTAAGTAGTGCATGCAGACGATTATGCAAGTATACGGATGGCAAACTACCCCTGTCTTGGATTACACCTTATACAGGATTTACCCTCGATCAAGTTGAATACACATAAAGAACAGACAGTCAGGTTAGAACTCTTACATAAACTCGAGCAAAAATCGAAGTATGGCATTTCTGAACAAGACGGGTGACATTAACATGTGTACAACTTGGGCACTGTGGTAGCTTGTAATCATTCCATATCATTTTGTTTATTAGACATATCATACAGTAGTACAATATTATTTACTGGATAAAGTTTCGAACACAATTTATTGTTCATATTCGCATTAACTATCATAATTGATGATAAGATTATGACTGACAGTTAATTGTTAACAGTTATCAGTCTTTCCTTGCCCTAGTAGCTTGATGTCTTTACTCTCTCTCTCTCTCTTTCACTTGATTATGCAATCTTTGGCTTTAATCTCACTCCACTTAGATATGCAATTTTGCTTGTCTTTTGTTTCCGTGATTTGATTTCAACTCAATACACTTATCCAATTAATTAGTTACTGATCGTCTCACTCACCTCTCGTCATCATCATCTTACATTTGGCGGAAGCGAATCACATGCCAAACATTCGAAGATTGCTGCTCCTGAAGGTGTTCAGAAGACTCGGAGTTTTGTCAGCATCTTCACCTAGTAGGACTACATCATCTGCACATTCTAAGTCAACGAGATTATTCCCTGGTAACAAGTCAATCCCTGAGTCGCTGAAGTCAGTTAGGGTTAATTCCATTAGTACATCTATGATGAAACTGAATAGAAATGGGGATAGTGGACATCCCTGACAGACACCACTTCAGATGACAACCCGCCGTAAGCCTTCCCCTGGCTGCATGAGTTTGAGTAGAGTGCCTTGATCAGTGCAATGTACTTTCTCGGCATTCCTTTTACAATCAAGCATTGCCTGGGTGCCTCTTGGTCAACAGAATCGAAAGCCGCCTTTAGGTCGAGAAATATGACGGTTGTTGGACGCCGGTAAGTATGCCTGTGTTCCAGAATTTGTCGAAGGGTGAAGATATGATCAATACACCCTCTTCCTAGTCTAAAGCCTGCCTGATTCTCTTCTGTTTGTTCCTCCCGTGGACCGCTTAGTTTACGTATAATTCTCTGTCTGTGTGGATTCAACATAGAACTTGGCACCGAAGTGCACCAGTTCGAGTTGCCACGTTCCAAATAGCACACAGAGGTAGACAAGAAGATGAGTGAAGAGAATCAATAGAGTTTGACAAGTATAGGAGTGATTCAGAATGGGTAGTGGTAGAAAGGAATATGAAAGATTACAGAGACTGAATACATCTGCGCTGGCCATTGACAACGATTTTGAGCCATGTCACCACCTATTGTCTCCAGCCATTGATTCCTAGAGTCCCGAGGCCCCCAACCCGGGAGTCTGCATCTCCCTACCTGACTCAGTTTAACTGTCAAGGATTTCATGGATTGATGTCATGTTTTTGTTTGACTACCACTTACTCGTTTCCAACCTGCACCACCTATATCAGCTAGCAATGCCCGTCGGGGGAGGCGATGGTTAGGCATGCGCAGCACATGACCTAGCCATCTCACTCTATGTAACTTTATAGCCTCGTCGATTGATTTTCCCTCTTTGCCCAACACTCTACGCCTAACGTCAACATTACTTACCTTATTAAACCACCTAACGTGAGACAGAGATCGCAGACATCTATGATCGAAAGCAGTCAACCTTTTCATGTTTTCAACGCGTATTGGCCATGTTTCAGAGCCATAGACAAGGACGGAGCGAACTGCTGAGCAGTACACACGTCCCTTGGTTGATAACCGGATGTCACGCCTACGCCAGAGATGGTGTAAGTCAGCGAAAGCAGCTCGAGCTTTACGTATAATTATTGAGCCTAGAAATTTAGACACTATATTAGTCAAGCTAATCCTACTTTGATTATCACAGGAAGACTTGTCTCCCTTTGAGTTTCTATTAGATATAGAAGATTACAAAGAATGAATACACCTGCACCTTTGAGAACGATTTTGAACCATACCACCAATTGTCTGCGATGACTGGTTCTTAGCACTCCAAGGACCCTAACCAGGAAGTTATCCCCTAAGTATGAGACACATGATATCCATAGATGTATCAACACTATTTATGACTGAGACAGCTGACTTCACATTCCAAGAAAGTGCCGGTCAACTCGAAACTGAACATAAAACTGTGTGTCACAGGCTTTTCCATTTTGGCTAGTTAAAAGACGAGTAAAATCTACGGTGAACTTCATTTCGTCCCGCTTAATTGCCATCAGTCATTGGATAAACAAATCGAAATCACTTAAAGCGATTCATCATTAACATTTAATCGAATCTTTCCGGAAGATTTTGATTAGAATATGTATCTTCAGTATATATTTAGCAGACGAATGAAAAGGTCTTAAACTTTGTATTCAGAAAAAGGTTTTGCAACTATTATGTTGGCTTGGCCATAAAACACCCAACTAATTGAACTCCTTTCATACTACTTTTTATCATCCCTATTGAGGGATTAGGCGTCGAGTGCTAGGTGAGGAGGGGAAATCAATCGACGAGGTTGTGAAATTACATCGACTGAGATGGTTAGGACATGTGTTACACATACCTAACCATCGCCTTCCTCGACTGACGGGCAACGTTAACTGACATAGGGTCAGGTTAGAAAAGAGCCACTGGCGGTCAAACCAAAACATGGCCTCATCAGTCAATGAAATTCACAACAGTTAGTTTAAGCCAGTCACGTATGTAGGTGTAGACTTCTTAGTTGGGGTGTTCGGGACGATAAAAACCAATGAAGGCTGTAGACAATCGGTGATATGGCTCAGTATCGTTCTCAATGGCTGGCGGAGATGCATCCACTCCTTGTGACTTATGATACCCAATAAAACTATTATTTTCTTCGATATTACTATTTTTTTGCCTAATATATCTGTTTACTGCCTCTATTTTGCATTTCTTTTTACTTTCTTCTCCTGTCTTAAGGAGATCAAATTGAAACTAATAGTGTTCGCTTACACAGTTGTTTTTTTTTAATATTGTTAATTTCACAGTTAACATGTCTGCTTTAAATTATAATTAAACCTACCAATAATGTTGGTGAAACAAATGTCAGGCATGGATTTTCCATTCCACCATAAGGAAATGTTGGTGGAAGTACTAGAATATCATATACACCCCATTGATAAGGTCCACAAATATTTTCAGCAGCTGAAATCATTTGTTCTGTTTCACTGAATTCATATGCTGCTTTATCTACTATACTAGGTTCAGCCCAAACAGATGAACGTGGACCAATTTTTCTGAAATAAAACAAACAAAAAGTGAGAGTGGTAAATTTAGCAAATGTAACATAATCAAATCAAGGATTATGTTATGATTTTTAATGGTAGCTAAAAAGCTTAATGAAAGTGGACAATGCATAATACTCTAAAATAACGTGTAATGAAGAAATAAACATTTAAACATATTCGGTTGATTAGTATAGTTCGACTACATTCAACATACAAATTGAAGCATTTTGGGTGTTGTGGATCTGACGAAATCTCAGCACGGATACAGAGGGCTAGTTTCGTGTACGCCAGTTTACGCCGTCTCTAGCGTAGACGTGATATCCGCCTATCGGCCAAAGGTTGTGTGTACTGCTCAGCTGTTCACTCTGTGCTCCTTTATGGCTGTGAGACCTGGCCATTGAGAGTGAAAGACATGAAAAGATTAGCTGTCTTTGATCATAGGTGCCTGCGTTCTATTTCCCGTGTGAAGTGGTTTAATAAGGTGAGCAATATTGAGGTTAGGCGTCGAGTGCTAGGTAGGTGAGAAGTGAAATCAATCAACGAAGTTGTAAAGTTACACCGATTGAGAGAGATGGTTATTTTATTTATTTATTATTTTTGATTACAGTTTGATTCCACACTGTATTTTTGGTACAAGTATGGAATTTTCAGCATGGATATCAGTAGCCCAAATTTCGCAGGCCGACCACAGATATCAGGTGTGCGTCGGCGCGGGCTTGAACCCCAGACCATGTGCATGGTCGGCGAGAGTCCTAACCACTGTGCCACCGACGCATGTGTTACGCGTGCCTAGTTATCGCCTTCCTCGACTGACGGGCAATGTTAGCTAACATAGAATGGTTCAGGTTGGAAAAGAGCCAGTAATGGTCAAACCAAAACATGGCCTCATCAGTCGATGAAATCCACAACAGTTAGTTTAAGCCAGTCACGTATGAAGGTTTAGACTTCTTAGTTGGGGTGTTCGGGGAGGTATAAACCAATGAAGCCTGGAGACAATTGGTGATATGGCTCAGTATCGTTCTCAATGATGGCGCAGATGCATCCACACCTTGTGACTTATGATACCCAATAAAACTATATGTTTCTTCGATATTACTATCCTTTTTGCCTCATATATCTGTTTATTGTCTCTATTTTGCATTTCTTTTCACTTTCTTCTCTGGCTTTGTGTGCTACAAGGAGGGAGTGTGGCGACTTCAACTGCCGCATATCGGTGCAAAGTTCAATGTCGAAAACAGACAGACAGACAGGGTGTTGTGGATGAATACACGTCTTCATGCATAAATTGCATTCTTTGCAAGGCAGAATGACACACACTGCAACTCAGTGTAGAACTTGGTCACTGTAGTAGAATGTAATTCCATATTAGATAAGTTTATTTTAAATATCATACGGTGATGCACCATTAACAAGTGGATGACGTTTCAAGCACAACTTATCGCTCATAATTTAGCTCGATCTAGAATAACCTAGAAAAAGCTCAGCCATTGCACACTGCATTCACTTGCATGTAATCACAAAATAGGTTGAATGGGACAGAGTGGGTGTATTAAAAAGTAATATAGTTAGGTGGAGAGAGAGAGAGGTTAATCCCTGAAGCTTTGTTTATCGGAATTATGCGACGTCTCTACCGGAGATATGGAAAGTGATAACAAACAACAAAGGGAAGTTGGAGAGATAGATTGTGAAACTGTGTAGCTAAAACTGATATGATTAATAAATTGTGCTCGAAACGTCATCCAGTTGTTAATACTGTATTATTGCTGTGTGATATTTGAAATAAGGCTTATCTAATATGGAATCACTGGGATTTCGTCCTGCTTACATGAACACAGATATGAATTTCACTTGAATAACACGAAGTGTATACTTGTCGATGGAAAGAACGTGGCAGTATACGTACGTATGAGATCAGTTAAGTAATAAATACTAAGACTTTTTGAATGCTTTATATTATAAACAACCACCAAACTGTCGTTAAGGTAAACACACATAAACAAAATATTTAAAAGAATGATTATTAAGTTAATCGGATAAAAGCGTTTTCCAAGGTTGTCTGAAATTTTATTTTCAATTTAGTGAATTTAGTGCAATCGACAGATATGTCATTTTTTAGGTTTACTATGGTGAATCAATACATACGAAAGTCTTATTTACGTTAGAAGTGTTACAATTACTCACTCACATCAGCAGCAGACAACACACACACACACTTGTCGATAAAACTAAATAGCTCAGTCAATATCTTGTAATATGTTTGTTTACAAATGAATCTGCTAACAATATCCCCAGACCAGCTTAATCCTAGTAACCAAACTATTATAACTGTTACATTGCCTACATTGTTACTTCTGTTCGTGGCAAAATGCCAAGGCTTGGGACCCATTGGTATAGGCGACCGACTTCCAAACAATGGGTCACTGGTTCGAATCCCACTCCAACTAACGAGGTTTAGGAGGCTAAGTAGTATCATCAACCCTCACATACAATAGGTGCGGTGCATTATCGACTGCATGGAGTTGTAAGTGGTTGTTGAATAATATTCACTCATGGTGAAAAAAGGTGAAACAATAGGACTGGAGATATGTGAGAAGCCTTTCCACACAAAAGACAGTAGATACACAAGAGAATAGCTTTATTTTTAATACAGTCTGCAACACAGTATATGATTAAAATTCATAGAATACTAATCAATTTAATCCAAACCTAATCTTAACAGAACAAGTTCATTCATGTTTTCATCGTCGTAAACTGCGTGTATATTAGTGAACGTGAATTAAGTTTTGATTAAATTCCTCAGTAATACAATAGTATTTGTTCATGACTTTTATGATGTAGAGAATGGACCAGTGAATTACATTGTACGTTAGTCAATGTAATTTGTGGTGTGGGTGAAAAGCAACGATGATATTTCTCGTTGCATTATTTAAAGCTTTTTAATAAAGATATTTAGGACACAGACACGCACACACACACCCTACTTCTTTATGAGATCATTTTAAAACATACTGAAATGATTTCATCATGGTCAACAAGATTAAACAGAAAACATACACACACACACTTACCTGCTAGCTAGATCACCACAAGCAATAGCAATCAAATAACTGGGAACAGGAACATTTTGTTGAAAATGATAAGTGAGATGTCCATCGTTGGAAGCCTTTGGCTCTGAAATCCGCTTTGCACCCATTATGACAACAGTTTCTTTTGGAGCAGTTACCTATATTCATGATACCGATTACTTAATAAATGGACATTTATGTAGCAATAATCATTTACTCATAAATGACGAAGAAATACTAATATGTAATTGCGAAGTGAGGAAGAAAGATCAAAGAGAAGGTATACATCAATTAATATCACTAATCTAGGATCACTCGAAGAGTTATTAAACTGTGACGACAGGAACTAGAAAACTAGTAAATCAGGGGAACGCTAGAGATGACCAGTAGTTACTGTATGTAAACTCTGTTCACTTAGAAAGGTAATGGATATATGAAAGCATAGAAGCATAATAATACTAGTGATATTTCGCTTCACGAAGTCCCCATTACAGCATAACCCGTTTTTGTATACAGTGAGAATCATGACATGGATCTGTATCCCATCATGGTCCATCGAAGCATCAAAAAATGAGGCAGTGGTTAGTTATGCTCCCTGATTACCTGTAACCTTGATAAATGGAATGGAGTTCGAAACTGTAACCCATATCGTGATGATTACATTTAGTTTATTTGTAAATTATACTGGAAGCCTTTAAAATATTAGTCTTAGAAGAAAAAAAGATGACTGAAAGCAACCAAAAACCTCATGCACCCCCTATGAAAATAATAATAATAATGGACACTGTCTGTAAGAAAGACAAGTCAAACATTTAAAACAGAGTCCTTTGTTGGTACTAGATGGTTGGAGGCAATCAGCAGGAAGCCTTGGACCTAGGTTTCGTGCTAGTTGGCACTCATCAGTCGACAAGGAGTGTCTGCAACTTTGAAGGTACTCATATCCCTTCTGAGATTCGGACTCGCATCACGCATTGTTGCCTGCAGTCAGAGACGTTACCACCGAGCTATTCAGGCTCGCGATTGACCTCCTGTAGGACTGTATTGGATATTTTTGATTGGACACTAGTTACTGACTAGTGTCCAATCAAAAACAAAGAGTCCTTTAACAAGATTTTGGTTAGTCTTTCAAATGATTAAAGAAATTAGCCTGATATTTTAAGATGTCTAAATTCACGTGTCTTATTTAGAAGTTTTACATTTTGGTAAGAAAACGGCATATATACTTTATTGATGATTTTAGCATACAGTTCCCTTAATACTCTTCATTGAATATTAAAATATAAAACTAAGAAAATGCATTATTACAAGTGATAGCAAAATGAAGTGTATTTATTGCGTCGAAGAATTTGATAAAAATCGCATTACTTTAAGATACGATTGAACTGACAACACAATACGTAGATTCATGAGACTGAGAATATAAGAGACTTTATTATAAGTTGATAAAGTACAAAATAAACAAATAAATTTACCTTAGCTTCAAAAGTACACTTCACAACTGGAGTATCCTGACAAGGAAGAAGACTGCGAGCATGAATAGCTTGACACTGGCTGAACATAAACGGTTGACGACGATCAGCTGTGAGTTGTGGCTTTAACCACTGAAGAGCAGAGGAGTTCGGTGAAGTTTCATAATCGATTTTAACTTCAAAGCTAAAAGAAATTAGAGCGGAAAAAAAATACTATGATTAGATGTTTTTACTCATCATGGTATATCACAGTAAAGTTTAAAAAAAAGCTCTTTTAACACGTTATTTAATAGCGTTAATTAAAATAAGACATTTGAAATTCACTTTACAGAGTTTTAGTTTTATTCTGCCAACCTAATTACACAACTAAGACTAGTGCTTTTATTTACCCTCCAAGCCTTATACGTCCCATGTGACAGTTAGATAACTAGTATTCGGATCGAAGGGATTCTGCCTCTTATCTCTTTGTTTTATACACTTTGAGGTGATCAATAATAGCAGGGTCAGGTGCAGACATTGTAGTTGGCAGTGGGAGACATGAGAAAACTAGCCAGTTTTCACCATTAGTGTTGGGTGTTGAATTTCCTATGTAAGATGGTGTGATAAAAATAAACAGGAGTAATGAGGTTAGACGTAAACTGTTACTTAAGCAGAAGTCAATCCATGGAGTTTTGGAACTACATTGACTGAGATGGCTAAGATATTTTGTAGCTATGGATTCCAAGTCACCACCCTCCTCAACCAGTTACGGGTAGTCATAACATAAAACATGGTTTGAGTCACGTAAGATGCATACTGCTTGTTTGGAGTTTGCAGAGTATTAACAACCGACAGTTTTGAGATTTTTGTGGTGGCATGAATAAAAATCATCATTCACAATGGTGCAGATGTACTCACTCCTTGTGATCTTTCAGTACTCACAGACCATCATCATCTGGTTATTATTTTTTCCAAAATATTCATCACATTTCTTTCCAATAACTTTATGTGCTTTCCTGAAATGTAACAATTTGAACTGATGCACTTTATGGAAAGAAAGTCTAATATTGATAGGTCAATAATCAGTTTGTCACTCACAGATTCATCTGCTTGTATCTCCTTCAACTAAAAACTTAATGAATGGAGGATTTCTCTGTTGAAAAAATACGCTTGAATGAATAATTCCTTTAGTTACAATAAATCATGGATACTAAATATACCATAAAAAAGACTACTAGTAACACTAACACCACCATCTTGTTACTTTGAGGTTTGTATTTCTTGATAAATAAAAAAACACGAAATAAAACAGTGTTCTATTTCATGTCAATAGCTTAAGTAAAGTGAACAGCAAACCGTAAGTCTGCAATATCACAAGAAAACTTGAAAAATTCCCAACCATATTACTTTGATTGAACACTAACCAGTGTCGTGCGTTTGGTTTTTTGCTTGGTGCAGACTGAATTCTATCAGTCATGTTTGTAGTGTGACCACCATGCCAGGTGGCTCGCCATCACGATGTCCTCTGAATCAAGACTGCAGATACACTTTGCTGATAAATGTGAACAAGCATGAAAGCTAGGTCCAAGGCTATATAGACGACACGAGCGTCAGTTATACTGTTCTCACAGCTCACTTATATGACTGGCTAGTTTCCTATAATCTTGGAAGACGCATATGAGCTATTTGCATGCTAAACTGGCTGGTAGAGATAACGATTTCACTGAATTTGATGGCTTCTGGCTTCGTTTATAGGGGCGCCTATGGTCATTATAGCTTCGCTACGCGTGCTACTCTTGCCTATAAATTGGTTGTTTGATCTTGTATGCGAGATGAGTTCTACTGGGCCTGTCTATGCAGTGCATAATTGACTGACGCGACCATTGATTGGCGTAACTATGCTTATCTAGGTCCAAGGCTTCTTACCGATTGACTTCAACCATCTAATAATACCATATAATTGCATAACAAGGTCAACATTAAAACTATCCATCTGAAAAGGGATCTCAAATTGTAAGGGACATTTTTCTTAGTAGCATTTTTTCTTAACAAATGGAATACGGTTCAGTTTAACATGATTTTAATATACGCATATCAACTAGCTTTATCAAAAGTGAATTCACGATGTGTTTATTTCATCTAATGTGCAAAAATTAGCCTAAGTCCGGTAACCTGTTTTCACCTCTACACGACAACCTAGAGGAATCTTGATCAATTTTCGATTTATCATTATTTTGGCAGAGCTCGGTGCGAACATTTACATTTATCAGATATTTACACACAAAAAGTCGATAATATCTGTGAAAAGTTTATACTTTGTGGAGTGGATTAATTCATTATTAGGTGTATTACTAGACAGTCAGTGATTCTGTACATATACAAACACACTTAAAATAAAGTGAAAACTTGTAACAGTATTATAACAATTTACAATTTTACCTATTCGAAGAAGTATTAGGTACAATTTCTAAACTGGAGCCAAAAATTGGTGAAGAAGTTGGACTCAGATGCCATTTCGCCGGTTGAGAATTTATGTGTACAGAGAAGATGTTTAAATTTTTTGTATCAAGAAGCTGAAATTTGGGGATACAATGTATGAAATAACAGTGACAAAAAAGAGGAAAATGAAGGTTTTCCTAGATCGAAATTGATTGCTAACTATATGATATTTTTAGTTCAATTTAAATTTCCCCATCAATTTATTGGATCGAAGTGCTCGGTCTCAGGTTGATATATCGGCTCCTTGTGTTAACGCTTCGACGATGTCTCGTCATGTGACTTGAAGTCAATTGGTGGGTGGTGACTAGTAGTGGAGTCCAGGATGTGTATTTCATCCTATTTAGGACTCAGTGGGAACACCATTACTCACTGGGGAATGCACGTACATCCAGATGACGAGTCACAAATAGGACGAAATGCACATCCTGGATTCCACTGCTAGTCACCATCTACCAATTGACTTCGCATTGTGGTATTTTACTTCAATTTGAGATATAAACTTAGTATATGTATGAATTAATAATAGAAACATTATGAAATAGAGCAGGAGGATAAACAGTAGTGAGTTAAAAGCAGAAGTACCCGCTTTTCTCGTAAGGATACATGACGATGCATTTGTGAATTTTCATTCTTCAAATTCTGGCTACGGCATAATCGCTAAACTATTCCATTTTCTACAGTGGATAATATATTATGTTCAATGTAGGGTTTTTTTAAATCCAACTGAGAAGCCTTATTAAAGCATTAGATTTTGAACGCAGCTTTAATCTACGTCTGCTAGTCTAATCGACAATATACAGAATATGATATTCTTATTATGAAAAAAGCAATGATAATGGAGCACTGACAGTCATATACCGAAAGCCACTTAATATTCTCGGTAACAAAAAATACCTGTTGTAAACACAGAGCACTGCAATTATCGAAACGATATATACTTAACATGCAACAACCAGAAGCATGCAAAAAAGAGTGCCTCTTTAAGTAATCAATTTAGCAGTGCAACGAAAACCTGTTATTCTGGATGATGATAATGATATCCACCCTTTTCCATTAACTGAAGTAATACACGACTGGAAGGAGTTTTAAGAAACCATTTCTAGTGCCCACATACATCATTCATTACTGCAGTTATTTCGAAGAGTAAATTTAGCTCGATGATTTTGATAATTTCGCGGCAAATGATTAGATGTCGTTTACTTAGCATCAATCCAGGTGAGAAAGTTCGAAGACTAGTATTAACCTACTACTCAAAACAAGATACGTAACTGAAACATAGGTGTATATGTTAAATGGATTCCATCTAATAGTTCATCCAACTATACTGAAAGGTTACAAGCAATCCACCTTTCCTAATAAGTCTTGCTAACCATCTTCTTTGTAAAAATGGTCACAAAATATTGCCTAAAGCTAATTTCTTTCTTTCACACCCACTACAGCTCATTATAAAGATGAAGGATTTTGGTTAGTTTGTTTTCAAGCTGTGATTAGAGCTAACCGAAATAGCCAGTCTAGTCGTGGTTAAAAGGATCCACCAAGTTTTAGAAAGCTTTACTTGTTAGGTAGTGGTGTGGGTCACTGGCAAATTGAATGCGCCACTGAGGTGTATAAAGAAGGAATTCTTCACTTTAGCTTAATTATAAACGAGTACAGAATATTTTAGCACGTAATTGTAATCACTTATGCGCAGAGGTGCTTGAATTAGTGAAGAATTATATTTTTTAGTATGTGCCTCTAAAAGATGATTGCAGTCCATTGTTAGCTCTCCTGAATGTTGGTTAATGGCAAGTCCGGGAGTAATAGTTATGAAATCTTTTTTAAACAAAGGAAGGTCTCTTCCATTTTGTTTAGGTAAGGTTAAATGGATTACATTTCAGGCACACTATATACACACAATGAGAAATGCCAGAATTGATGTTAAGGCTTGTCCCGTACATCGGAGATTAGTAATGATGCTTTGCTAGTTAGGATCACTATCCAGATTTGAGGAATAAGTGTGTTTTATCAGAATTGGAAAGAGTTACGGGAAAATGCAGTCCTAACTCTGACTGTATGAAAACACTAACCGTATTTATTTACGAGAAATTCTGTCTTACTTTAGTTTGTAAACAGAAGCTGTCATATATCTAAAATTTGCCAAAAAGATTGACTGAAGATCGAGTTAGTTTATGTATGTGTGGAATACTAACTTGGTTCGTACAAGTGACTTCAGAAAATAACTAGCAAACGCATAACAGGTGAGTGACAAGTAATTAATAAAATATAAACTGAAAGCAACATACAATGTTTGGATTCAAGTCACTTGAGCACACTTTCTTCAGAAAAAGATTTACTGAGCCACTGATTTTTTGAGTATCGAAATTTATTTTCCAGTCAATATTTAATTTCTCCGTAACGTGATTGTTTGAATTGGAATAGGAAGATGGATCACCAACTTGGGACATTCTGGAAACTATTTGAAAAACAAACTGTTGAAGTTATCGGTAAATAAGTGGTAATTTTAAGTATAATACACTTTACTTCCAATTAGGAGTATGTTGCTTAGTTAAATCACTTAAGCACATACTGCACTGAGTAGTAAATATTCTCTACACCACATTAATAAAAATGAAATGTGTTAGCGTACAGTTTATACACTATCATAGCATTACTATCCACATCTACACAGTAGAACCAACAGGTGAAACATTTAGAGAACTGACACTTAAAACCAAGACTGAAGTTTACCTTTATGAGTAAACATTTAGTGCACTATTCATATTAAGCTAATAAGGACAATATTATTAAAACAGAAAGAATTTAAATATATTGAGGGACGCCTTGTGTTTAGAACAGGATCTACCATTATCGCTTAACAGTAAAAGTTGTTACAGTAGTGATTCATTACTTTTGGAGATGATAAAAGGGGAGGGGGCAAAGGTATTAAGGTCACTAATTGTAAGTAACAATAAGATAAAGAGATGACGTACGGAATAGATACATGATAAAGACACCAAAATAATTGCACTACTGTAACCAATCACCGGCCAAGAATCTGAGTTGTTTCACAGAAATGAGGAAAACCTACTATTTCTTGCTTGGACGAACGGTCAGAGACCTAATCGATTGATATTATATCTTGATTTGACCATCGCGAGCTTTGTCAAAATCTAATAATTTAGATAATATATTTATTTTTGTGGTAGATATGCCTAAGCACTTATAGCATCTTAGCTTTACCTAAAACTTTACGGCTGACTCATTAATTACTCGCATGATGTTATCAAACGCCAAAGATACAAAAGCAAAGACCACTAAATACTTAGCGCTTCCTTAAGTCATTTACCTTTAAGGATCGTGTCTTACAAGTATTCCACGAGGTCAACAATAGAGAAGTGAACTGATCTACCAGTTTTGTAGTGTTAAGATCCATGAGTTACGTAGCATTATGTTATAGTCAAAGAGCAGGGGACCTAGAAGACAAGACGAATTTCAAGTTTCTTTTGGAATTAGGTACAATATACGTTTCGTTCGTTAGACATACATGCTAACTGCTTGCACTTTTTGTCCTGGGTTGAGGTACACATGAATTTTTGAATAGGGGGTATTCTAAGGTTGTCTAATTTACTTAAGACACGTATATTAAACTGCATTTTTAAGTAGTATACAACGGTGACATCAAGTTGCACCGTTTTTTTCCAAGCTTCTTTAAAAAATGTTGGTGGGTGCTTTTCATTTACATTTACAAGGAATGGCACAGCCTCTACTATCTATTGTTTATCTACTTAGTTGTAAACCGGGCACAGTATCACTACACAAAGTAAAACAAAATCATCGTATTTTGTGAGAGGGCTGACGTGCTGCCCAAATTCCAAGACCTAAATGGAGCTATCCCGAAATAATACGATCGACCCACAGTATGTCCATTGCATATATATAGGATGATATCCTAAGATTAGTTTGTTCCCGAGGTAACAAGTCAATCTGTGAAATGTTACAAACAACCTATTTATGCAGGCTACTTGCTAAAAGCACTACCATAAAATACCCTAAAACTGACAAATCAAGAGATCTGATCATCTATAAATAACTCGTAGGTGCCTTATGGCTGATAAATATGACATCTGAAGATGTACAGGAGAATTAGTGCTTTGTGACAAGGGTCTCTGAAACACAAACCACCCGTGGTGAATTTGCTGAGGGGTTCTCGTATAACATGCATGATTTCTGATGGGATAACCCAGTCGAATAAGCCATGAATTGAAATGACCACATCAAACACCATAGATTTCAGAAGTCATGTGAAGTAATACTGTGGCAAATAGAAGATAAAAGTGGCTAAACTGATGGGGTGAGCCGTGAAAGCCTATCGTCATCTGCCGATTATTCCCATGGAAATAACTTCCAATCTATCGTAATAACTGTTTCGTAACTTAGTTTCCCGTGGACTTATTAAGAACAAGTCATCTCTCTATCAGGCCTGAGCCTTAACTAGGTTACTTCAAAATACTTATTTCAAATCCACGACAAATTTATCTCACCATAACGTAGTGCTGGATACTCAATTCGATGCTGGATAACTTTAATTGTGAATTTGAGAGCATATAAGCTTTTCATTTTACGATCTAATGCAAGTTAAAGAACTGTCTGAATATAAATAAACCCACTAGCGAGTGCCAACACTTCTGAAAAAGACTGGTTGTACTTCACGTGAAGGTACCTCACTTGGATACGGTTACACAGTTCACATAAATATCCCTAAAACCATCCAGTGTAATTGAATCTAATTTCAAAAATGACACACTGAATGAACACATACAGTCCTATTATCATTTAATAACTACGAACAACCCAAAGACACCTACCCACACTAACGGTGACTGATAAGTAGCGTGCAACTGTTACGACGAATTTATATTACCCACTCGTGTTTAAGTAATGGTATTTGATGAAACAAGAAAAGTGGTATGTTTGTTTATTGTCAATTAACCACCATGTGTCATGACGCACTAAATGAATTTCATTTTTTTAATATTAGCGCAACAACGCTGTTGCTATTCACAAAGATGTTTGTTGTTCCACGACGAAAGGCCTGTTGATTAGCTAGTCGAGCGACTTTATTGCATATCCCCTCAATGACGCTTGTTGCTGTGTTGCTATTGGTTTCAAGTGGCCTTGGTTTTGGGGGAAGATTTAACTGATGTAATATTGCGATTTCGTAGACATAACTCAGGCTCATACGTGAAAAACTATAATCCTGGAATAAAGACAATTTGTTTAGAAGGTAAGGAGGGCATTATTTGGCGAAGTTTAAGAATAGCGTCCCAAAACCTTCAACGCTCAAATGACCTTGAACGCATGCTAGTCGTTGGCTAACGGTTCCTGTCATTATCATAGCTGGAATATCAACCCTATTCATCAAATAAGGAGCAAGTTTCACCCAGATTACACTTTTATTACTGTTTGGACAATGTGTTAACATCTCGTTAAGGTTAGGATAGGGGTTAAGGCGAGTATTGTGGTTAGGATTAGGGTTATGGTTAGGTTTAGGGTTAGGGTTTAGGGTTAGGGTTTGGGTTTAGGGTTAGGGTTTAGGGTTTGGGTTTAGGGTTAGGGTTAGGGTTTAGGTTTAGGGTAGCGATTAGGAATAGATTTTTCGTTTATTTCAAGTTCGTTTGTTATCCTTATTTTCCTTGTATGTAGTTGCCAATGCTCTTACTGGAACCATAGTAACTAAACCGAGGGCTGAGGAGACGACTACACAGCAAGAGAAGAGAGATGAACCATTCCCAAAACAGCACACCTTCAGTCTCTTTGGTGAATATATCTATAGAAACTAGTCCAAATTAGCAACTGATACTCTTCATCGCAACTGCAACGTATTTTTAAGTCACATCAGAGAAATATAATCCGTTTAATGTTTTTTTTTCATGCATTTTTGTGTAAATATACGTTAATTTTATGCAAAATTCCTCCTATTTTCTGATTGGTCGGCTCAAGGTCATTGTGCGTTCGCATCTCTTGGGACTCCATTCTTAAACTTTGCCCATTATTTTTCAGTTTATTTGTATATATACTATTGTGTATCGAGTTGCACTGAGTTCTTAGTGCATTCATTTTCATTAAGTGTAGTAATGAAGAATGGAATTTCTTCCACATCAGTGTTATTTAATTGAAGTTTTAATCTTTGTAGGCCCTTGAAGGAATAAATTCGGCACGGAGAACTCCTGTGGAAACCGAAAGCACTTTTAGTTTACTAAATCTTACTGACTCCCTGTATAAATTTGATCTGTCAAGTGTTTATGTAAAGTCTGCTGGTGTATTCAGTAAAGTAAAAGTTGTAGTGCTTAACTCCTAGACTTGTTGTAGTTATTGGTATTGCCAGAATACTACTTACTCGTTTTATGCAGCCGAAGTATTCAATTCTCACTTTATTGAGGAAATAGTATATTGCCTGCAAAAGTAGTGCTCCAGTTTACGAGTTTCATCAAGCCTACAGAATGTTTTCTGTTCACTGAATACTGTTTGCGAATTATCCGAGAAAACACATTTCCGAGTGGGATGCAATACAAAGCTGAATTCTTAAACTGTCATCCTTATAACAGTTCAATTCAATCACACATATAATAATATGATAGTCTGTAATTGACTTCAAAGACTTATCAGGGAATATTCTCATCACATTACGGTTTGCTGATGATATTGTCCACCTAGACTATGAGAAGTAACCCCTGATGCTGTAAAATATGAAAATAATACCGGTGTTTGATTATAGGTGTCCGCGTTCTATCTCATCAGTAAAGCAGTATAATATGGCGAGTGCTGTTGAGGTTACGCATAAATGTTTAGGTGGGGAGGGTTAGTTAGCCTTCAAGGTAGGGAAGCTGAATAGGTTGAGATGGCTAGAACACGTGCTGGCATACTAAGCCATCGCCTTTCTCCAGGGACAATGCTGACCAGCACATGTTAAGGTTTAAAATGCGTTTGGGTCGGTCAAATGAAAAAGTGATATTGGTTCATAAAATTGTTGACAGTCGGCTGGAAGAACTACCGGAGATGTGACTGCAAATCTTTGGTACTGGTACTGGTGCATTCACTCTGTGTAATCTCACATATCTATTCAACTCATGTTTTTCCTTGTCATTATTTGTTCTCCCTCACATTTTCTCTCGTTAAACTTCCATTTAGTTTCATGTCTCTACCTTCGTGTGCTACATGGAATGTGGTAAATTAAACAGGTGGACTTCTCCGCAAACTCATACTGAAAGCTACTCAGAATGACAGTCTGTGCGTAACTAAATGCGAAACATTGATAAATGATCTCCAAAATTTCAACAAATGATAAGTGTAGTTCACAATCTTGCTCTTTGTCAAATGAAAAATTGATACCTTTCGGTAATCTATTCTTCCACCCGGGACTCGTCATAAACCAAAAGTCAGTAACATGGACGTAAGAAATGGTGTGAATAGAAGTGAATGAGACGAGTGACCTTTTATCCCTGTAGTACGCTTAAGTAAAATACTCATGTATATGAATGAGGCAAAAAGTTGTGTGACTGACTTGATATGATGATGAGCAATAGTTTGTGCTCAAAACGCCACCAAGTAATACTGCTCTCCAACACTGTGTGATTTACCAAAATAAAATCGTATCCATAATGGAGTTATACTCTACCACAGTGCCCAAGTTTTATGCTTATATCAAAAATACTTATCTTGTGCGTTATGTGTCTCCTAATTGTTTCATTTTTGTCTTCCTCATTGCAGGTTGTCAGTCTCCGTAGACATTCTACCAGATGTCGTCATGCATAGTGTCTGCAAGCAGTCTTTCAATACATCTACCTCCCGCAAAGTTATTGTTACGATGCCTTTAAATCATTTACATTTGGCCGTAATACAATTAGTGTGCTAATATTACTGATGCAATGACATGCAAGACTTGTACATGTTACTGTGAAGCTAGTTTGTAATAACATTCCCTCCATAGTAAATAGAATGCTTGTGATAACAATTCGTCATTATCTTTTCACTGTGTTGATAGTTGCGTATATATTGGAAAAAAGCTAACCTTGTCGTATCAGTTCTCTAAATTACAATCACTAAGTGCCCATACCTCTGCTGAATACCAAGTGCTACTCGTGGCCCATGAAATACTTATTACTGCATTCGTAAATAGCTATCAAACTGTTATTACATGGAGTATTGGGACAGAAGGCGTATGAAATTTAGATATTAGTGTGTATCTGAAGTAAACGACACAATATATATGTGCATGTTTCATTTCAAAACTAGAGAATTTTATAGGGTAATGTAGGAGTGAGCGCAATGAGTTAATAATGTATTCTTTACTGCATCCATCTTGTATGAGTGGAATGCATCTATTCAATTTTCGGCGAAGCTTCAATATCACCCGACAGGGTTTTTTCAATGCACTCTCATAAGGAATAATACTTGGCACTGAGGAATCCAGCCAAAAGCATTTGTGACACAGTCGAATGACTTTTTCAACTAAAAGCGGTAATAGTGATATTAGGTGTGATTTATCTGTAAACTGAGGGACTCTGGTGTAACACAGCACCATATCCCAGCAGGGTATTGTTTGTGTTTTACAGGTACAAGTAGAATTTATGGACTGAGTATTTGTTAAATATGGAGGCGACCCATTGAGTCACTTACACGAAAGGCTGATGAAATGCGATACCTTACACACGCACTTTTATATGTTATGTTATGTTAGTCCACATGAACTCTGGGCCATATCGAGTAGGCATTCCTTTAAATCTACTCTACCCTGTGCGCTTAACTATTGTTCGTATATGTGATGACTTGGTGCGTTTCCTAGTTTGCCTATAATTACGGAATGTACATTATATTAACGAACACAAATAAATTTTGTGAAAACCAGTGGTGTTCCTTCTCTAGTCTCAATTGATGTCACATTGATTGACACGATTAAAGGAATAGATTGTAACGTGGTGTTTTCTGTAGCTGCGAAACGTAGATACCTAGTTTCGAATTGACATCATCCGTCTGATCCTATTAACCTATGGGTATGGTTCATCCTTCATGATAAAACTAGAACTCAGAAGTAGACTGTCTTTGACAGATCTAGTTTTACGATGTGACTAATTGGTGAGTCACCTGGTGTTGTGGTAGCAAAAAAATAACTCCAAACCTTAGTATTTTCTAGATATGAACAGATTTACTTACTTTGGCGACAATTTAATCTTAGGGATATTAACCTTTACTTAGTAATTTGGATCCGAAAGTAAACGCCATGTTACTAAGTTATTCAAAAGACAGAATGATGAGTGAAACAGTACTCGGATACTTATTCTAACGAAATCGAATAATGATTATCGTTTAGCCTACCAATATGCCGCTTACTTTCAGTCTTAATTCAAAGACAAATTTAATTGCCCAATAAATTAATAGTTTCAGAAGACTGCTCTACTCCTGTCTTTGAAATACTTTACCCGATCGTGTTTTACTTCAAAATAAGTGTATACTGGCCAGCTGATGTTGCTTATCCAGTTACACTGTTTTTCAGTTACAATGTCCCATCTATTTCCTATCAAACACAACATCCCTTAAACCATCAACGAGTAAACATCATTTCTAAAAAAATAACCTTAACTATTCGCATGTAAACGATGCTATAAACTTTATCACTTACGTGATGTTTCAAATTCCGATTAATCAGTTTTCCCTTACATGAGCACCTGTTTCAATTTTAACGGATAGTTCTAACCTTTGACTACTGAATTAGTACGTTTCATTATGTACCATCCATACGAAATATAGGTACTGATAATAATTACTGCTAACAGATTTATCACGAGAATGTACTCCATATTGACGACAATATTCCTCAGGGGCGGACGTATTTTCTAAACGCGCTACTCAATACAACACATGACCCTAACCCCATAACTCTGTAGCTCACAACATTCTATGAAGTTAGTAGTGACTATTAACAAGTAGAATGTCTATTTGAGGTATAGAGAATACATTTATTAGTGATTCGACACAAAATACAAAATCAACGGTACTGGAAACCACTTCCTTCAGCAATGAATCCCACGAGGTCACTGGAACTACAGATTATCTAAAAAAGAAAACAAGGGTTCACAGGGTGCATACATGAATATAACTAC